GTATATATTTTTTAAAAATTAGATAATATTTTCATGAATAGTAGCTTTATCAAAGTTTTTTGTTTCTTTCAACGAAATTATTTTTCCAATCATATATGATCAAAAATAATAATTTTAATGTCAAAACTGTATGTTCATTGATCTTTAGGATATCAATTAATAATCAATTATTAATAATATTATTGAAAAATAGAATTATATATTATAGTTGATTTATTTAGATTATAAGATGTTTGAATTATTCCTTTGTGTATCTTGGATCTATAAATAAAAATCCCGGAATTTTTATTTTTTTTCAAAATTCATAAATTTTGTGAAATTTTTATCTTAAAATATGATACATGAATTTATATGATGATTGTAAGTCCGAATATTAATATAATATTTTTATTTTTATAAAATTAAATATCATAATATAATGATTTTTGTTCTAAATTTTATGATAAATCCACAATGAACTCCAATCAATGAAAAATTTAAATCTATATTCTACTAAGAACTAGAAAAGATATACAATGGAATCGGGAATAATTCAAGTGTTTTCAAGTCCATGCTTCTCTAGTGAGAGTGGGGAAAAAATAATGTAATGAGCACATGCTCAATGATACACTCATCATTTCGACTCATACCAGTAAACTCCTGTGCGAGTAACTCCATACAATTCCCTGACACTAAACCTACCAACATGCGGAGCAGGAATGTCCTGAAAGTGGGGTACAACTTTGACACATAAAATTACCTTGTGATATACATGTTAAAATTAATTTTTTAGATAGCAATGATTGTAAGATCCAAGAGAAAAAATAGTATAATGACAAAATTTCACTTTTGTGTTTTATTAAATTTTTAATAAATATAAATAATATATCAATTTAATATATCCGAACTTACAATCATCATTTAAATTCATGAATGATATTTTTAGATAAAAATTTCATTGACTTCGTAATTGATAAAAAATTGTATCTGGAACTGCACACAACTTGAAAATATAGTTAAAAACATCAGAGAATATTGAATGGACTTGAACATCATGAGATACTGTTATCAGAATGTTATCCTAGAATGGAACAGTGAAAGACAAGAACAGAACATTAAACAATGGACGTAGACACCATGGAATAATAATAGAATTGAACAGTGAACGACTACAATAGAACATGAAACAGTGGATGTGGACACCATGGGATGCTAGTAATAGAATGTTGATACTAGAATCGACCAGTGAACGATGTGTGTCCAAACAATGACAGGGTTCGGAACACGGAATAGAAACCACCAGTAAACAGTGTATGTATTACGAGACAGTGAGAAGCTCGGGGACAGTGAGTAGAATCGAACATTCAACAATGTATATCTACAGAATGAAAGGCTTGGGAACGGGGGGAAGAATCGAAAAGAGAAGAATGTATGTGGAGACAGTTAGAGGCTTGGGAAGGAGAGGTAAAATCGGTCGGTAAACAATGGATGTCGAGACAGTGGAAAGCTCGGGAACACTGAGTAGAACAGAGAGTAAAGTCAAACAGTAAGGAATGGATGTCGAGACAGTGAGAGGCTAAGAGATAGCGAGCGGGCCACATGACAGGCGATTTGGGACCCAGACTCATATGAGTCTGGGTCCCAAGAGTGAAGATCACGATGAGAAAATCGGCAGCAGCAGCAGCAGCAGGTATGAATGGTGCTTGGACCGAGGTAGCGACAGCGGGATCATTAAGTAGTCGGATCCGTGAAGGTCTCGCTCGACTGGGCATCTTCTTTGCGCCGACCATCAATCAAAGCAGGTTACAGCTTTTCAGTTCCTCAAGTGTTCATCATACAGATGAGTGTCAGATCCAACAACTCGCTTGTCCTCCTCCTCTCCAGCTCACATTCAAAAGCTATGAGGAGAGCACGAAGATGCGATTGCCTGAGCAAAACATGGAGGTGGAGCACAATCACCGCGGCACGTGAACAGAAGAAATGCATTGTTGGTGCGGAGGACGATTGACGTCCGTAGTAGTACTGTGTGACCTATCCAGCTAGCATGCTGCCATGGCCCGTGTCTACCCGGTCGATCGAACGAGTCACAGATCTTTGTCGTAGGCGATACCGAACACAGTCGTTTGCCATTCTCAGCGGGCTGAATCTGGCCATCTGAGCTCGAAACACTGTCCGGAGAGGTCCTCTCTCTACGTGCATGCTCATCCAAATTGGTTCCATTCATTCTCGAGGCCGCAGCACCCGCCAATTTGTCGGTGTACCAGAACAGCTCTCTCCAAACGGGTAAACCTTCAATTCCTCCGAAGGTGGAAGTGACATCATATTACATGCTTCCTATCTTGGAAAGTGGGCCGAATATGAGAAACTAATAAAATATGCACCTCGTGCGTCACAATTGGAAGTGGTCGATTTATATCTAAACTTTCGCAGCATGAAGCCCTTGCATGTTGACCAGACCCATAGTCGAGGCTTACGTGCCACACAGGCATCGGGTGCGATTTGCTTCATGTCTATGACTTTTTCGCGATTTTAGCTTCATGCGATTGTCTTTGTGTTCGTCGAGCGAGACTCACTCTGCTGAGCCGCCCTCGTAATCCTTGCAGCACTTGAGTTCCTGTTTACGACTCTTGTGTGTCACCGAGAGCATCCCATCTTGTCCAGATCTTTTGAGGTCAAAGGACACCGGACAGGAACTGCATCTCTTGAGGCGCAGAAGGATTGTGCGTTGTCAAATTCCCCAAGGGGCAAGTGCTTTGCTGCGGCCGTGGAGCTCGCCAGCCAATTTGTCAGTCTGGAGGTTGGAAGCTCGTCGCGAGTCAGTTGACCAGATGCAATAATTGAGGCTTGCGAGCTCCGAATTAAGGATTTCTACTCTTGGCTTTGCGCGGCGCATCACGTGAGGCCTTTGACCTCACCTAAACGTGGGATTCTCATGTGGCATGCGTCTCGGAGCTTCTACTTTGAACACACATGTTCAACCGCTCAGGTGAAATTCCGACCAACTGGGAAAGAGAGCTCGAGGTTTGGTGTTCTCCCTTCTCGAGAGCTCGAGGTTTGGTGTTCTCCGTTTTCGAGAGCCCACGACCGATGCGAGGGCCAATTACAGCATGCTTCCACTTCGTGCAGCTTTCCTCTTTACCGCCCCCTCCCTTCCCGTGACTGTTGACTCCAATTTTAGAAAGCAAAGTGGCTTTCTGCGGCTCGAATCATCTCTTGCCGATTCTCCCCTTTCCGGTAAGATAGGGAAGAATCACAGGTGCATGTGATCATTCCTGTGGTAAGTTACAGGCATGCGTGAGGTATAGTCACTCATCTGAATGACGATTTTATGCTTGAATGCGAAATAGTTCTTGGCAGAAACAAACTTGCATCGAAGTGTGATGAGTCGTTGAAGTAGAATGAAACTCGACTGAAATTTTAATTTAATTTAGAGAAGAGGTTTTTTTTCTTATATCATTTTATACTACACATAAATTTTTCTTAATAAATCAATCATTTAACAATAGTGCATTAGACTCCTGTTTAGATAAGCATTAATGTTTTCACTATGTTTATTTAGTTTAGTTTGTCATTTGGCTCAAGTTTTGAAGAATCTCGTTTTTGAATTTCAGAGTGAGAGTCCACATTTTACTTTGAAACTATTTGAACAACTTTCTAATACTATCAAATCAAATTTTTTTCAACCTCTTCTTGGGCAGAGAGCAATTGATACTCTATATCAACAAATTATTTATATAGTGATTCAAAATTGTTAAATACAACGGTGTTTCCTAGACCCAAATATTATCATTCTCTTCAACAATCTTCATCGTTTTTCAAAACTTCTCAACTTCTTCCAATGTTGCATGCAGAATTCCAACTCATCTGTTGGATGTCATAAATAAGCTTGTCAATCCATGTCACCAACCTATATAAAAAGTGTACTTGTGAAAGGGAAATAATGACATCAGGCATAAGTGAACAAGATGAATGATTTAACGACCAAAGTTGCACAAGGTATCGTAACTTTAAATCTTTTTGTTTGAGCTTGATGAATTTGTTCATGTTGACCATAAAAACAGTGAAGTATCTGCAGTTGGAAATCTGTATGCAACTCCAGCATCATCGCGTCGTAATCTCCTCCCTGTTTTGATTTAATTTTGATCTGTTCTAGCTTGTTCCAGACCTTTATGAAAACTCATTCACTAATATTTCAATCGCACACTAGAGATCTTTTACTATGAGTATCCGTCTTACCCAGCTTCTCTGTGATATATGATCTTTAGAACTCATTGATGCATTTCCATTAGATATTTTCTGTCCTTGCAACCTAACCACACGATATGTTGTGATTCTTCCAACGTAGACACCTACATGATTAGTAGGTACAAAATTAGGCACATACTTAGGCAGGAGACTTCTGTAGATTAAAGATAATTTTCCTTTATTATATTAAATTATATTTTGATCATCTATAAATTATTTAGAATTTCTATGTTTTCTAATAATATTTCAAAATTTTGAAATATTAAAATTTATGTATATATTATATAAATCTGTAATTTATCTATATGTATATATTGAGATTTATATATAGATTTAACAATAAGAAAATGTCATGTGATTTTAATTTTTAGGTCATTTTTCCAAATACATGGGAAATATACATGATCATCCAATGATATGGTTTTTTTTAGATAAAATTTCATAAGGTCAACCATACTATAGATTTATAAATTGTATTTCCATATCTCCACTTTACAAAAGAGATAAAGTGGAGATACGGAGATACAATTTATTCGTTTTGAAAAAATCTTTAAAAATAATTCGATTTTCGACTGAAGATGAACAAGAAGTAGGCTCGAAGTAGCTTGTTTTGCTTGAAATCCCGAACCTGAGACGAGAAAAACAAAACAAAACACCAGTGCACCTGGGCTTCCAAACGTAAAACAGAAAAGCAAGTTACAGAATTTAGTCTGCCCACATTACATTCTATCCAATCTAGGAGAAAACTTTCTAGCTAAGAAAATAGCACCCAATACGTCAGCACCACATCACCATCGAGAGATTCTCGCACAAGCTGAAAATTTGCTCAGAAGTGATCGGGGTCAGAGATGTTTGATATAGTACCGAGGCTTCTATGCAAGAGGCCGAGATGCGCTTTGTACATTGAACTATTATATATTGAAGAACTGAATTTATTTTCATTTCAAGTGCTGCATGTATATCCATGAAAAAGCTGCAGACTTTTACATGGTGATCCCGAAGATCAATGGCACTCAGTCACATTCCTTCCTCTACAGTCTACTCTAGACTAGCTTACAAACACCATCTCTAACCTCCATATTTCCAGACGTCAAATGCTTTTATCGATCTTCGTCGCGATGAACTTGGATACTTCGTTCATGATCACTAGTGAGAGAGTCAGACTCGATACAAAACCTGGCGTATACTCGAGGTCAAGTAAATACGCTCAAAGGAATGAGTGTACACTGAGAAAGTCTTACTGATTTAGTAAATGCATCACCAAAGTGGGTTCCAAATGGTAAGCTGAGGTTCAAACGCTGCTTGGCATACTGATCGATCGCTGGTTACGACGGTATGTACATGTCGAGGAGGTGCTAATTGAACGAGCCGAAGTTATCGTGCCAGTAGTGTCGATAAGTCTTTATACTAGGATAATGTCTGTCTGTCTGTCTGTCTCATTCACTGAGTCTCACTTCCTCTCTCTGATCGGATTCTTACTTAAATGGAATGAAGGAACAGCAGGACGTCCATCGGCGACAAGGGATAACGGTGGCCGCCCTCCTTCACAAACTTTGCGTCAGCGGTGTCTCAGTCACGCAACTCAAGACGATGGTAACAAATTCTTGGACATCTTGTTTCAACTGGACCAAGCATTCTTTATTGCGGAGAGCGAGGTACGCCACGGTATCCCGCACGACCTCGATGGAACTCTTCCCAGCGTCCATGATCCGAACAGCCCACGAGCAGCAGATTCCCAGCAGCACTCGAACGCAGAAGAAAATTACCGACAACAATCTCGGAATAGCTCGCGGGCGGTTCTTGGCTCTCGGAGAAGCGCAGCTATGACTCTCCTCGGAGTCGTGCATGTCCAGCTAGGGCGCCTTCGAGCCTCGCCTCCCCTCCGCTGCACAACGCAATCTGCATGCGTGGGCAGACTGTGCGTCGATTCAACCTCCTCGAGCGCACTCCCCTTGGCGAGGGCGTTCGATCTCTCCCTCTCCCGATGCCTCTACTGGAACTCCTGGACTCCGTTGCTCGAGTCAAGATTGCCGATGCAAATGTCCACATTGCGAGGAGGGCGCAGCTTTTTATAGCCGACGATCACGAGCGCTGCAGCCGGAGCGGGAGCGTGGGGGCGAGAAGGAAAGGCACACCGGGAAAGTATGCGCAGGTCGCAGCCGCCCACGAAGGGTTAGGCCGGATTACGGTGGCACATCTTACTCGCACTACTACATAGCCCCTGAGCCGAGGGCTCGCGCTCATGCTCACGCGCCCGGTCCCAGGCCCGTGCGAGAACCAATGCTCGGACGAGAAGCGAGCATCCCTCGCAATCATTGCCATCGCCCGGGTTCCTTTCCGCGCAGCTCGCCCAGCTTTTGCCTTGCCCGGGGCTTTGGTCCATTAGTTTATTGCGCCCGTGGGTCGCCAAAAGCAGCGCATCCCGCGTGCACAGCGCTCGGTCCACCGGCGCGCCCATCCGAAAGCGCTCGCTGGGCTGCGTCACTGGCAGACTCGGTTACCGCGCGCTCGACACACAGCCCTGCTACGGGACAATTCCCCAAAAGAGGCCGCCGGGAGGCTCTGATCCCGGCACAGTGCCGTCATCGTCGCGCAGAGTCCGATGGCTCCATCGCGCCGGACACGACTGTCAGGGCGACGTCCGGGCTCGGTCGTCGTGGCTTTGGAAATACGCTCGAAACATCATCTCTCCTGCGGAAAAAATCGGGCCAGGCCACCAAACGTCGTCTCCCATGTGCAGACGGCCTGACGGGAGGCCATATCTACTGCTGCCCGGTCAGGCTCTTCTCTTGTGTTGTTTCATTCACGCTTGTGTCTTGACCGGGACCGTCGACGTTGAGTGACGTGATACGAAAGGTTCGGCGCATATTTATGACCTGAATTGCAGGTTTCTGACCTTACTTGCTTTTTGCTTGTTGATTTAGAGGGTTTATTTCCTGCCTCTATCTGATATGCACCTACCTCACGTGTTCAAATTTGAGCGTTGATGTTAGAGACAAAGAGAACTCGTGGATTGATTCAAGCCCTTGGTTTGGACGTGTAAAAGTTCTGTGTTTATACGTACTACGTTTGTTTCAACGTGAATAGATTTTGGATCGTCGGATTTTATTTATAATCTATGAACCAAAATAAATTTTGAAAAAATAATAAATTATTATTTAAATAGTTAAATATTTTTTGAAATAAAATTTTTAATAAAAAATATTCGAACTTACTATCATCATATAAAAAAATATTAATTTTATAAATATATTTTACATACGGACACTAAAAATAAACTATAAAACTTGCACTTCGAGTAAACTATAGCTATTAAAACGATTCAAAAGTCGATTGTCGCCGGACCATAACTGAAAACTTTCAAGGACACCACCACGTTGGACAATTGCAGACATGCTTCTAGCGCCGAATCAAAGTTCGATTATGACTACGGAGGTGGCCGCTTTCTTTACGAATCCTCACCTCTTTCTAGGCCGGATCACCTCAAGTTCCAGGTGGCAGCCACGAGAACAGTTTCAGCTTTGTTTCATTGATCATTCTCAAATAGATACATCGCTCGACTGCAATTCATACGATCCAGCACCGCGTTCGCAACGCACAAACGCAGGCGGCTCAGGACTCGCGCGGCCGGAATCTGCCACGTACCATGACCATCCTTCCGACACCGGCAATGCCAACAAAAAGATGTTTCCACGGCATACCTGCCGTCACATTGCTGCCTGGAATCTGGAAACGCCGCCGCAGTACCACGCGACTGGGCAGAAAGCCGAAGCGGTGGGTGCTGCCGTCTGCTAGCCTGGGGCATCCGCAACGGTATCGTACAGAACGCCAACATGCTCCGAGGGACGGGCACCCGGCATCCGGCAGCGGTGACAGGACGCGTACTCCTACGCTGGCAGCCTCGAAGAGGATGAGGATGAATCATCGGTGGCGGCTGCTGCCACGTGGCCACGTTCATCCAGCAGCCCTCACTTATGATTTGGGTTATAGTTATCACTTTCCACTCCGACTAATGTTGTGTTTCGGGGGCCGGAACTTCTGGGCCAGTAATCGGGGGAATTGGTTCGAGAGGTTCCTTGGCGTGATGTCCGAGCTCGGTGCTCGGTGTGGGTATAATGTGACATTGACTTCAAAGTCAAGGTCACATGAGCCGAGGCATGTGCTTGGGTGTCTAGTGCTTGCACTCTGGCAGCTGAGTTTCTGCGCAGTTTTATCGGTGTTTCATGCATGTTTGATGAATTTCGGCACAGATCGACATCTTTGGGAAGCATTGGTCTTTCCACACACAATTTAGATATGGCAAATAAATAGTCCCTGAGCTGGGGCCACGTCCGGTGTTGTCAGGCGATTGTGGCCATTCGCAGAAAATATTGTCGAACGTTTGGAGCCATCCAGGCCCAAAGCACCAAAGCAGATCCTCTTGGATCTGTTCGGTGGCATTTTCTCCATTTTTCAGAGCCCTCGGTTATGCCGAAAAGTATAGGAATTGCCGAGTGGGAGCATGCTTTATGCTGATTATGACATTAGCTTTTGAACTTGGGCCATACGATATGCTCCATACTTTTCTGAACAAGGGAAGTGGGTGGTCTTATCAGTGGCAACTCTGCGACCAAAGTCTGCACCCTGTTCAAAGTCAAAACCAGCTTTGCGCCAGAGTCTTCTGCTGTAGACAGCTAGACTGCGATTCCAACTCTATCTCCTTCGAGATTTCTGCTGAGAAACGAGCGATTGAAGCACTGTTTCAAGGAGCAAATGGCCATTCCCTTCAACCTCATGTCGATCAGGTGCTGAGTCCAAAATGTGAAGGATTTCTCCGAAAATCCGTGATCACAAATTTCTTCTCGATCAACATATGCAGGGGAACATTTGGCAGCAACTGAAGTTGGCCCTACTTAGAAGTCTCGATGAATTTGACATACTAGGCGTTGTGATGTTCTTGAGTATCGAACAGTTCAAAAGCAGATCAGTCTCGAAAGATGGAGCAGCCTCTCAGAAATTGGGCCGGCAACTATCAGTTCAGCTCTCTTCGGATACATCGACCTACGAGCGTGGAGGAAGTGCAGGACTTGGTTTTGAGCTGCAAGAAGCTGAGGGTTTTGGGAGCAGGCCACTCGTTCAATGGAATCGCGGACACCGATGGAGACTTGGTGTCCCTAGAGCGGATGAACCGTGTGCTCATGATAGATGAAACACGGTCCACTGTCACTTTTGAAGCCGGACTCAAGTACGGCGATCTATGCCAACAGATACACAGCAAAGGTTATGCTCTGCATAACCTGGCTTCGCTGCCGCACACCACCATAGCTGGGGCTGTGGCAACAGCAACGCACGGCTCTGGCGATAAGAACGGGAACCTTGCCACTGCGGTGTCAGGGCTGGAGATTGTCAACGGATTAGGCCAAGTGGTGACACTCAGTAAGGAAACAGATGGGATTGAATTTGAAGGTGCAGTGGTGGCATTAGGTGGCCTTGGGGTGGTGACGAAGCTCACCCTGAGTTTGATTCCTGCATTTGAGGTGCGGCAATTGGTGTATCAAGGGCTGAGCTTGTCGGAGGTCGAGGAAAACTTCGATCGTATTTTCTCTGGTGCCTACAGCGTTAGTCTGTTCACTCAATGGAAATCTTCCACCATTGATCAAATGTGGCTGAAGCAGAAGCTTGAGAAAGGAAGTGACTGGGCTCCCGTGGAGCCTGCGCTTTTTGGTGCTACTCTCGCTAAAGAGGACCTTCATCCCATCATTGATCTCTCGCCCATACACTGCACAAAACAAATGGGAGTTCCGGGACCCTGGTATGAAAGATTGCCTCACTTCCGAATGAACTTCACCCCCAGCAGCGGTGAAGAACTTCAGGCAGAGTATTTGATTCCCCGTCAAAATGCTATTGCAGCTCTGAAAATTCTTGACAGTTTGAAAGAGCTCATTACACCTGTTGTCCAGATATGTGAATTGCGTACCATTGCCGGCGACGTATTATGGATGAGTCCATTCTTCAGGCAACCCTGCTTGGCTATACATTTTACTCTGATTAAAGACTGGCAGGCAGTTAGCAAAGTTCTTCCCATCCTTGATGAAGATCTGAAACCATTGCAACCTCGTCCACACTGGGGAAAGCTTTTTACTTTGTCCCAGGATAGAGTTAAATCCTGCTACTGCAAGCTGCCAGACTTCAGGCAATTGATGAAATCATTTGATCCTGATGGCAAGTTCTGCAACAACTTTCTGCAAACTTACATCAATGACGATCCAACTTCAAAGGTCTGAAATTGTGGGACGAGCCCTTGCTCCTATCCTGATAACGAGACATTCCCGGAACATCGAGAAGGGCAGGAACATGGTGGAGCAGACCGCTAACTCTACCATCAGGTTCTGAAGAATGATTGCTTCTTTACAACTGTGAATGTGTAAAGAGATCCCTTGTAATTATAAAATGTATTGTTATCGATTTCAGATATTTTCATTAATATCAACCAAAAGTATACCTTTATGTGATATGAGATAAAGATTTTGCATCCTATGTTTACTTTCAACCAGCTCTTTGAGGTCTAGTACTCAAATTTTGCCTATGTATGAAGCAGATGACTTCTTGAACCGCACGATGGCTTATATGTCTTTCTGGTGCGGAGTAGTCCAACAAACTCAGGCTGGACTTGAATCGAGACACCGAATAAATCGTATATCATTTTGTCTCTATAATATCAGATGTGGCAGGAAAGGTATCGACCAAGTATTATAGCTAAAACGCTTGACTTGTTTGATTGGTCTTCTGAACGGGTCATGTACTCGGCAGGAACAGAAGTTGACCCCTCGATCTATCAGGTAAATGCCAAATGATCGTTGTAATCTATGTAGGTTTGATGTATATACTTTCTGAAACTGATCGATGAAATACACCGTTCACTTTTCGCCTACTCTGCTCTCAATTCTCTGCCAGATGTTTAGACTACAGCTCATGTAAGAAGCTTAGCCACAGTTCTCTCTCGTTTTTAGCAGTCTTAGAGTCATTTATTAGGTGTTGAATCTGCTTCACAGAACCTACTTCCACAGCACCTGCGAACATCGAAATTTCTACCGTAACATTTCTCAGCCAATACCTCGCAATCGAGATGCCAATTGAAGAAAACTTTCTCCCTTCAAAGTCGGTGACAAATTGTCTCTAAAGTTGCACAAACTTCCAGTTGGATAAAACTGCTACAAGATCTGACCCTTTTATTTTGTTTTGTTTTGTATTAACGTGTACTGATTTCCATATGCTCAGAACTTTTAACTTCAGGAGACTTCATTATTTGCACAACCTACTGAAACCTTAGCTTGTGCATATGATTGCAAACCTTATTTGTTTTAATCCTACTGCCTGACCACACATCAACATAAAAAGCTGGTGTTAGAAGAAGCGTGACGTTCCTTTCTGCAGCACACAAACGATTAAGGGATGCAAGGAATGGAGGATCCTGTGTAAACCCACACAGATGGTCTTAGTGCTGCTTAGCTCTGAAGGTCAAAGGTTTGATAACAGTCGGCACTGGGAAAAAACTAGTTCACATAACAGCCGTATGATACCTCCCTGGCTGGTATATGGTGTGAGCCTCCTTTTTGAGTCTGCTCCTCTTTAGATCTTTGTAACCATCACCTTAAGCAGGACACTGGAGTTCTTCGTTTTACACAATACAACTTCCATGTTTTCTGGATTCCGTGCATCCTGTTTCTTGCACATCACGAGTCTAAGATGGCATGACAGAACTATCCTTGTCTGCTGCTGCTACACTGCAGCAGAATTCCTCATATCTCTCAAATGATAAAGTAAAATCCATGCGCTAGCAATTGGTTTGGAGAATTCATAATTGAGTCGCAAACCTTTTCTCACCTTTGAAATTGGTAATCTTCTTTTATCATCTAGGTTGGAACTACATTTATACCTCCTGTATAACATGTTTACAACACAGGATGTACCATCATCTGTCCAATGCTAGAATGCCGCGAAAGCGATAACATTGAATGGGACAGGCATCGTGGGTCCTAAAGAACTTGCACATTTCCAACACATATCGGTCTCTGCAACAGGTGAAGCATATTGTAAATTTAGGTACGAAGGCTACGGATATATAATACCAAAAGGAGCCTTTAAGATTCAAGGTGAAATTCTGCAGTACGATCATATGTATTCCTTGGTGACCGGCGGGGATCCATGAAACTGTCCTCACTGCAACCAACAAAGTCGCTTTCTCTGGTAGCAATCCAATCACCAATGCATTCTTGCACGAAGAAGGTTCACTGTTATACTTCTTGGCTAAAAGACATGCGTACACCCAGATCTCTGATCGTAAGTCTACTACGCTGTGTTCACTCATTGGACAAAGATTAATTTTTACCCACGAACTAAGAACAGTAACTTAAGGGCGAGATCTTATATCCATCCACATCGTTTCCAATGTTATTTTGGAGATAGATTAAGGAAAAAGAAATGTCAAAGGCAAAGATTGACGTATGAAACGACATCAAAGTTAACTCGTATATCCAATTGTTCCAAATCGACTAAAACATAATAGAGAAGTATTTAAAGATCACGTATGTTGATTTACGTATATAAAAGAAAGTGTATGTTGTATGTATGTATGTATGCTTTCTTTGGGTTATCTAGTTATATTTAAGTACCTCAACTACTTACTAAAACAAAGATACAAAAACCTCAGTACGAATATTTGGAGTTTCTCCTATTCTTCAAGTTTTATTTTGTACTAAGTTTAGCTTTGTTGACCCTTTGATCTCTCTCTCATTATTACTTCACGGCTGAAAAAGACGAAACTTTACAATATACTTATCCTGAATTGAACAGCATATGCATAGGAATTTATTCCTGAAGAATCTTCTTGAACTGGAGAACCAATATGAGTAAAGAAAAAACAAAAAAAATTAATATTATTTGGAATAAAACACATTCCTACACCATTTCTTAGAAAATTGAAGTGAAAAACATCTTTGGATATTTCAAATTCGAAGAATTTTTTTTAGAAAAAAATTCTCTTAAAAAAAAGTCATAATAATCTTTTAAGCTTAGCTGAAAAGTTGACCTATTTTCTTGAAAATATCATTAAATCTGTCAATTACAAATCCTAGCTTGTAAAAGGAAGAATTATCTTCATTATTATCATTTGCAGAAATAAGGTTTCAAGATTTATTCATCTCTTTTTTTTTAGTTTCAACCATCGAGCAAGTAGATTCTTTATGTCTAGATGATAAAACAGACAAGTTTTATAAACATGAATCAAACATAAATCTTCTAAATGATAGAAAATAATACAAATTTGAAATTTTAAGGGTACTTTCAATTTTATTTCATCGAACAATGCATTCAAATCAGTCAAATGAATTAGATTTCAATTTCGTCAGCGACATTGAAGTTACTGCATATGATTGTGAAATAATATTAACCTGAAGACATTTTTAGGATCATACGTCTGTTTGAATACTATGTTTTAACATTAATTTCAATGTGACTCACCCAAAAAAAAAAACGTGTCCTAGTATTCCGTGTAAACATTGTCATCCACGTAATATTTATCGTCACTTTTTGTGTTGTCTTTAACCTGCACACTTTTGAATGCATAGCTCCGATTGTATGATATTCAATATTTTTCATGTTTATGCTCATTTATTTTTATTTTTTATTTTAATTATGGTTATTTTTTGTCCTTGCATGGATAAAATATCCCTTAGTTCTTAGTTTGGTGGTTTGAACTTTCTGAAACCTTGTTATTATAACTACCCTCAAACTTGAAAAAATGTATCAAAAAGAATCTTAAAATCTGAAATTTTATTCTCTTGAGTCACATAGTAAAATGGGATCTGAAATAAAAATCACTCATAAGCTTTCAAACTCATTACAACTTAGTTTCAACAGTAAAACTCATTTCTTGGATTAAATAATAAAAAAAATTAAAATGAATCACTCAAGATGCTGAAAAAATAACTGCGGATAAAAACATTTCTACCGAATATCATATAGTTACATGGCATATATGCATTATACGGGTTATAAAGAAGACTTTATGTAGATAAAGACATTGCGCGGTATCACGGTCTTTGAACTCTTCATTATAAATATTACATTTGATTTCTTTTAGTCACAATATGACACATTTCCCATTCAGATGTTGTTGGGAACTAGACACATTTACCATTTTAGATTTCATACATGTAATGTTGCATGTGTCTTCCCATCGTTTTCACTATTGATTCTCTACTTAATTGGTTTAATAAGGCTCAGTATATGAATATGTAAGACCTTCATCCAGATGGCGAGTTATGTTTAATGGGTCTAAAGTTTTAGTTGAGACTTCGGGTCTAAATACATTACAACAATCTTCCGCTAGCTATCATACACTTGTTGAGACCCCATAGTAATACAAATAGCTTACTCAAATTCATCAGATATTGTTTATTTAATGGGATCTATGTTCTATTATCAATCAACGGTGCAATAGGAAGAAAGAGTAGGAGAGGTCTCAGACTGAAGAAACAAATTTTTTCATACATGAAGAAAGCTTGTTGGTGTTGTTAAATTCTGAGACGTTTTGTACACAAAGGTGACTATCATTGCCTCAAGAAATGTTGAACCATGATTCTATCCTTCATCAAAAACTACGAAGCATCCAAGCTACAACACTTCAAATTTAATCTGCTTCGTACTAAATTCAAAGAGAGTAAACATTCCCGACTCGATACTTCAACGTATCAAAATTACTTCAACAACCTGATTTGTTTCTTTTCCTACAATTCTATTTCCAAAATTGTGTTCATTATACAATCAAATACAAATACGAATGTTGTAGTGTGCAGCAATCAATCAAGAATAGTTTCGCAATTACAATCGCAAAACTACTATTGATTTAAAAAAATTTCTTGGATAGATGATCTCTCTTATCCTCCATTTCACTCCTGATTGTTTCTCCTCCTGCATTGTTGCTCGATAGTGATGTGAGCAGTATTCCTATTTTGGAAAAAAAAAAAATTGATCCTTGGATTCCACTCATACTCCGTTCTGCTCTTGCTCATTTCTCCTCTGGTATCTTGATAGTGGAACATGGATGACATGTGTCCTATTTCTATTATGGAAAATGGTATTTTGATCTGTGGTCTCCTCTCATACTATGTTTCTCTCTTGCTTGTTCCTTGATATTAGAACATGGATGACATGTGACGTCCCTGGTATCACATTAGGGGAGAAAAAATCATTATGGATCTTAGTAGTGTATTTGTGTTACGATAAAATCTCATCAAATAAATTTGTCTTATCTATGAAACTAAAAACAATGCTCAAAACAAGATTTCATTCTCAATTGATCCAATTTATTTTATCCAATTAATTCATTCAACACAAGGATTTGAAATTTTGAAAATTAAACATCTAAAAAGTACTTTCAAAGTGACAAAAGGATAAATTCAAACTGTAATTGCATAAC